GCCCCCCGCGGCGCCCGGGCCCCCCCCGGGGGAGCCCCGGCGGGCTGAGAAGCCGAGCGGCAGCCCCGAGGCAGCTGCCCCGAGTGAGCCGCCCACCAAGAAAACGCCCATTAAAAAGCCTCCACGGAAGAAAAGCAGGGAAGCCACCCTGGAGCAGCCCAAGGCGGCCATAGCGCCCGCTCAGACAGTGCCGTAGCGAGCAGCGGGCGGCCCAGCTCGGCGCCCACAGCACGAAGGACCGTTGCAGGTGCCACCAGTAGAAATGGAGGCCTGAACTGGGCAGGAGGAGCCTCCAGCCCTCTCTTCCCGCTCTCTCTCCCCATTCCTCCGGTCTGTTGTTGTTTTTCCCCCCCGTCACCTCTCTCTGTGCCCTGCCCTGGGCCCGGTGCTGCCCTGGGCGCTGTGGGGCAGCTCGGCCCCCCGCGCGAAGCAGGCCGAAGCGCCGGGGCCCTGCGCGGCCCCAACCCCCTTTGTAGCAGTATTATCCACCCGCCTACGCAGCGCTTGTTGTCCTAGACGTGCCCGTGTTATATCCCGCAGTAACGGAGCCACTTGCTTGCAGGCGCCGTCCCTCCCTGGCCACGCTGCCCCGGCCGCGCGCGGTCGAGCTGGTTTCGACTGATGCCCCCTCCGCGCCCGAGGCCCTTGGTGCCGGCGGCAGCGGCTCCCAGGAGAGCTCTATTTATGGCCCGAGCCTGGGCGCCCTGTCCCGGCCACGGGGCCCCATCCGGCGGGGTTGGACGGATTCGTTTGGTACGACAGAGCCTGGCATCTCTGCAGAACGCTTTCTAATAAAAGTGTATTTCCCCCGTACGCGGTGCCGTGTGTCCGTGTCACAGGCTGCGCTGCCCCGGGCTCGGCACCACGCGCCCGCTGTGGCCCAGCTTTGCTGCAGGCGCAGGGAGGAGGTGCTCAGGCCCCAGTGCCGTCGTGCTGTGGGGTGGGTGGGCACGGGGGAGGCCGCCCCAGCAGGGACGGTGACGCTCCATGTGCCACTAGCACAGGGAGTGCGGAGTGGCGGCCGCAGCGGCTCCCGCCCTTGCTCTGGAGGGGATGCAGGACATGGATGGGACAAGCAGAGGAGCAGGGTCTGTTTGTCGCGGCGCCTCTGCTCCAGCACGCGAGGGAACACCAGGCCGGCCACCACGTAAGCGTCTGCTCCGGGCTCTGCCCATGACAGCCTCGAGGTGGGAAGGGCACCCGCTCCGTGTCAGGGTCCTTGCCTAGGCGAGTCTTGGAAGCATCCAGGGATGGAGATTCCGCAGCTCCACAGGGCCTGGGGAAAATGCTTCTGGAAACCAGCCTGAACCTCCCAAGCTGCCCTTTGTGGCTCTCATCCAGCAGCTGGCACCGCTGCGGAGGATCGATGTCACCATCCTTGTAACGGCCCCTCCAGCAGTTGGAGGCTGCTGTTAGAGCCACTGCAGCTGCTTTGGGCCGCACTAAAGCAGTGCGGCTCCCTCCGTCCCTCCTTGTGAGCCCTGTGCTCCACAGCCGACCAGGCTGCCCCCTCCTCTGGCCTCTGCAGCCTCTTCACACCCTCCTCGACGCAGACGTCCAGATGCAGACACTCGCGAGGCGCAGCAGGCGCTGCAGAGGGGAGCAGAAGCCTTCAGCCTGCTGCCAGGGGGCACAGACTGCCCTGGGGGGACCCCCTGAGTCTCCCCCACAGTTGTGAACCCCACCAGAAAGCTCATACGTGGCATAAATAACCCAGCTTTGCTTAGTCCCCCTTCCCTGATGGCTTTGCCGGCTCTGCTAGGTCAGAGGAGAAGCCCTTAATGTGACACGTTTCCTGCTCCCCCAGACACACGAGGAGGTCTTTCCTGGAGCCCCCTGTCCTGCTGGACAAGGCAGGGCTCGGTTTCAGCAGGTGCAGGACGTTGCACGGCCTCTCTCCAACCCAAGAGACAGCAGATCCGCTGCAGGGAATCCCAGGGACGGAGATGGACCAGCCCAGCTGCCACCAGCCCTCCTCTGCCACCCTGCACCTGGCTAAGCAGTCCAGGATCCTGGTGCCACTGCGGTCCTTGATCAGAGAATCATAAAGCTTTATGGTTGGAAAAAACCTTCAAGAGCATCGAGTCCAACCATAGGCCCTTCTACAGCATCCTGCTAAACCATGACCCCAAGTGCCTCATGCATGCATTTATGGAACACTGCTAGGGACGGTGACTCCACCACTGCCCTGGGCAGCTGATCCCAATGCTTCACCACTCCTTCGGTGTGGAAATTTGTGCTAATGTCTAACCTGAACCTCCCCTGGCGCAACATGAGGCCGTTTCCTCTTGTCGTAGCCATAGTTATTCCGGAGGAGAGACCGACCCCGCCTCACTGCAGCCTCCTTCCAGGTAGCTGCGGAGCGATAAGGGCTCCGCGGAGCCTCCTCTTCTGCCCTCTGAACACCTGCAGCTCCCTCAGCCGCTCCTCAGGAGCTCTGTGCTCCAGCCCTGCTCCAGCTTCGCTGCCCTCCTTTGGACCCGCTTTGCTGAACTTGGTGCTGGGCTCAAGCGCTGGTGCTGGATGAGGGGGGTCGGGTCTCGCTGGCCCTGGGCACATTCCAGTCTGGGTGGTCCAAGCACATGACCCCCCCCAGCCCGTGAGTCCTTCCCTTCTCCATGGAAGCAGCAAAATTAATATTCTTCCCATTTCTCCCTACTTTTCGGAGCTGAAAAAGGAGTCGGTGCGTTGGAAAGCAGCACATTTGTTTTGGCTTGGCCAGATAGCTGCGATAAAAACAAGCCCGTTGCCAATGATTCGTTTCCTATTTCAGGCCCTACCAAAAATAAACTCTGAGGGGAAATGCAAATCAGAATGAAATATGCATGAGACAATGAGCTCTCAAGATTATATAAGAAAATTCCCTCTAAACACTTTCTGGGAGGGGAACAGCAGTGCCAGCGGGATTTAATACTGTGGGGGAGAAGTTCCTCTTCCCACGGGTTCAGGGAACTCCAGCAAGGCAGAATCCAGAGTGGATTGATACGGAGATATTTATATATAAGCAGCCCATGTTTCATGTAGTGATGCACAAGTCCTTATTTTTCATGCAGATAAATGTTGCACACAAGGATATGGCCCTCTCTTCCTTTCCTCCTTGCCCCCCGGATGGATGCAATGGCTCAAGGGAGCAGATTTGGGACACGTTCCCAGCGGGAAGGAGGCAGGGAGATGCCGCTTCTGTCCTTTGGATCTTTCCAAAGCGGATCGGCCACGGAAGGGGACGGGGCACAATGAAGGCCACGTCTGTGCCCTTGCGAGCCTCTCCAGCCCTTCTGCAATGCCAGAAGAGGTGGAAAAGCTGCTGGGCCGGGGGAGACCACCTGGCTCCCCGGAGTGCGGGCGAGCGGCCTGGCTGCCTCCCCAGGGACACTGGGGGCTCCAAAACCACCCCCAGCCACACAGGCGTCCTCCTTGCACAGCAAAACTCGGTCACGAGGACTCGCCGCAGCCGGGGTCAGTGGCGTCGCCCTGCGAGGCAGCATCCCCAGGAGGGTTTGCCAGGGACACGTCACATTCGCAGGCATCGCCATAGGGATGGGCGACCTCAGCGAGGTCCCTGCAGGACTTTGGGGATATCTGAGTCTAAATAAAGAGCCGGGGAGAAGCCCTTCTTGGAGGCTTCGCACAGAAACGCCAGCCCAGCGCCCCACAAGGGCTTCAGTGGGCAGCAGATCCGGGAGCTGCTGCCTGGAGCCACGGGGCTGTGCCAGGACCTTTAACCAGAGCTCTCCCGGGACAGGGCAGAGCCTTTTTCTGCCCATTTGCACCAATTCTCTGTTCCTCCTAGGCCGAGAACAGATCTGGTTCCTGCAGCCCCTTCCCCCAAGGCATGTTCAAACCAGGGGCACAGGGAGGGTTGGAGTTTCCCGTTTTCCCTTTTTGTGCTCCCCAGCTTTCTGCAGTCAGAGGAGGCTTCCCACAGCTCCGAGGTAGGAAAAGGGAAAACAAACCCGGGCGCCAGTGGAGAATCTCTCAGCGGCGTTTGGTAGGGGAAGGAGAAACGTCAAAATGCGCAGGGCAAAATCCTGAAATCCGAAACGAGGAGGGGAGGTCAGGAGGAACCGCGGATCGCCCCGCTCCGCGGGAGAGCGGCAGCCGGCGGGCCCC